GCATTTCCTGTTTTTGTTCTGGATAATATGTAGAAACCTGCTGAAGGGGTTGAAATTAATCATATTTGTTTGGTTTTTATAAAATAGTACTATGTGTGTGTGTGTGTGTGTGTGTGTGTGAGAGAGAGAGAGAGAGAGAGAGAGAGAGAGAGAGAGACAGAGAGACAGAGAGACAGAGAGACAGAGAGACAGAGAGACAGAGAGACAGAGAGAATTCTAATAATACTTTCTTTTGCCTGTTGTACACACACCCTGCATTTGAAAAGAGGTCAGACAGAAGCCAGCAGCTGCTGCAAATGCAAACGAAGATATACAGGTTTGGGAGCTTGAGAGGTGGATACTCTAATACTTTAGGGAGTTTCTTGAAGCCATGTATGGAATCAGCTCTAAAGTATTTCCATTTCTTGCAAGGAGAAGCACAAAGAAATGGGATTAGTCATTTTAAAAAGCTAAACCAAAGTATTGTGCAGGTGAGCAAAGAGTGTTAAAATACCTTCTTTTAAATTAGTTAATATAGTTTTCTTGAGGATTTTTAGCTGTCACAGTATTTGGAGTATATCAGACTTTGATGTTCAGGACTGTGGTGGTTTAAATAAGTATGGCTCACATAAACTCGTGTGTTTGAAGGCTTGGCCCATAGGGAGTGGCACTATTAAGAGACGTAGCCTTGTTGGAGGAAGTGTGTCACGGAGGGGGCGGGCTTTGAGGTCCTATATGCTCAAGCTACGCCCAGTGCAGCACACAGTCTCCTGCTGCCTGCAGATAAGATGTAGAACTCTCAGCTCCTTCTCCAGCACCGTGTTTGCCCGCATGCTGCCATGCTCCCAGCCGTAATAATGGGCTGAACCTCTACAACTATAAGCCAGCCCAGTTAAATGTTTTCCTTTGTAAGAGTTGCCATGGTCATTCTTCACAGCAAAAGAAGCCCTAACCAAGACAGGGGCTAATATTTTTACTCAACTAAATGCTTCCTTCCTTCCTCTCCTTGACTTTGCCCCTACTCCACCCCCCAGGTTGACTGCCTTTTACGTAAATTTAGGAGTTGTAGAGGTGAAAAGTTATCTTAAGGGTCCTAGGTATTGTCTTCTTAAAATATGGGTCTGATGACCAGCCGAAACTTCTAGATAACCAAGTTTTCTAGCCTACCTCCAACCCTGATGTCTGCCTAAGACCTTCGACATCAGAGTCCATGTGACATTTCCCATTAACCTGTGTATCCACAGCCCTCTGAGGAATTCTGATGGACACTCAAGTTGAGAGCCACTGGCTTTATGGCAAGAATTTTATACCTTCCTTAGTTTTTTATTGAGACATAATTAACTTACCCAGGATTTCACTGTTTGAGTGTCTGGTTGAGTTGATCTTCACTACATTGTACAGCTGTGTAGTTCTGAAACATTTCATTCCTCAGAAGGAAACTCCACACCTATAAGCAGACAGTCCCACTGCTAGCTCCAAACCCCAGTTCGGGGTGACCACTAGTTCACTTTTGTCTCTGTGGTTTGCTGTTCTGGATGCTTTCTATCAGGACAGTCATGGAATATGTGGCCTTTTGTTTCTGCCTTTCACTTAGTGAGGTTTTCAAGGTTGACTCAGGCTGCTGTGTGCCCTTCTCTGTTTTTATAGCTGGGTTGTATTGTACTGGAAAGATACATGGGTAACATGTTTATCCATTACTTGTTTGATAGACATGCAGGTTGTTGTTTCTCTTATTTATTTATTTATTTATTTATTTATTTGTGCTGTGAGTACTTATGTCCACATTTTGCAAGAACTTGTTTTCAGTTCTCTTAGGTACATAGAATCCGTTATCATCTGTGAATGTTAAGCCCAGAAAGTCACTGGAAGCAAGTGAGCTGTGAATCATCTCATTCATGATTGTAGTCCTGCAAGTGAGCCCATGTTAACAACATTCTCACCAGACAATCAGTAGAAACCTGGCTTTGTGGAGATAGCTCCCTGATGTGTATTGCTAGTTCCCTAATGTTAACACGCACGTCTAACAGCAGTGTAACTATGCGTTTATTTCACACATACATTTTTTTTCTCTGATTTCTGTGTCCCAGGCAACTCTTCAGCAGTGCCCTTAAAACAGCAAGGTCACAAACAGAAAGCACAAACACTGTGAAAAATGTGGCATTCAGTGAGTTGCCAGAGACAGACCTGTTTGATCTCCCCCGGGACATGTGTACCAGCAAGTCAGATTTCCCACCGTTGCAATGGCATGGTTCAGTAGTTGTGAAAGTACCGCCAGGATTATTTGGAGGGCTATAAGTAAGTTATATCTAACAGAGTATGAACCCAGGAATAATGTATTTGATGCTAGGCACCAAGTGCACCTGGCAGTGGAGTTGCTGGATCAAGGGATGGCTCTGATTTTAGGGGTTCCTGAGGCTGTCAGCAGCAGCATGGGGGCATTCTGGCTTCTCTGCTCTTGAGGATGTTTGGAATTCTTCTTTCTTTGAGAATATGAAATAATATCCATTTCTTTGTGGTCTTTATTTTTACCCCCTGAAATCACTAATGCATATTAGTTACTTGAACGTCTTGAGAGATAGATACCTTTTCAAAACCTTGGCCTCTTCTAAAGTGGATTGTCTTTTTATGGATGACTTCTGGTTTTTGTTTTTAAACATGTATCTGGATGGTAGACTCTTAAGTATATAATTTGAGAATATTTCCCCATGCTGTATATATGTATTACTTTCTTGAGCATGTTCTTTGATGTATGAAACATCTCCTTTGCTCATGCTTTGGAAACTTGAATATCTATTCTTCATGTAATTAACTAATCAGAATGTCCCAGCAGAAAACTGTTCACACATTTCTATTATTAAAGACATGAAGAGTAGAGTTTATGGTTTCAATAGATTGTCACTTGCTTTCTAAAAGGCTATCATTTATAAATATATGGTATTTGTTTGTAGGGACTTATAAAGATTTATATAGAACTTTACACTGACATCCTTAGGCCCATCTGTTTATAAAAAGCAATGTTAAATCCATTTAGACAATGGCTACTTTTTTGTTTGGGAAAATTGAAGCAGAAAAACAAAACAAAACAAAAAAAACAAGCAAAAAAACAACCAACCAACCAAAGAAACCACCTATCACTACTTTGGCTATTACTTCCTTCTTAAAAAACTAAAACAAAAAGAAGAAGACTCTGCCTCACAAAACTGTGACCTTTCTACTTTGAAAGCAGGGTCTCTAGAGCCATTTGTGAAAGAACACAAGCTCACAAATGTGGAAATAAACAGTTATTGTTGTTTATTTGTGTTAGTTTAGATGTAGTAGCCAATGTGTCAGAAACTGAGTCTGTAGTTCTTAAACTAGGCTGAGCAAGCAAACAGCATCAGCCTTCCTCTTCTAAGTAACTCGAAATCCAGAAGATCAAAGGACATTATAACCAAAAACAGCCCTGGTTGCAATTTCCTTGTAGAAGCAGGAAAAGGCTAGAAATTACATGTCACCTTCATATCCTGGCTGGTTGACCTCGGTTCTCAGATCAAGTCCCTCTGTATGCCAGCTGTTGCCATTATTAAGACTTTGCCCCAAGGGGTTAAATAGGAGAAAAACTCGAGTGTCCTATCCCAGAGCAAACACAGAAGTCCCAGCCCCTTACATGCCCATTCAAAGCACTCTGAGTGTGCCTGTCACTCACTCCTCCTGCTCGGCTCCTGAGTGCTCCTGCTTTCTGTTGTGCCCAGTTCTGCGAGTTCTGCAGCCTGGCCGGTCCTGCCGCCAGATCAGACTGAACCCAGGAGTTTCTTCTTTTAACAGAAGGTAACGTCTTTATTTCTGCTTCTCTAGGTGGGTGTTTGTTGTTTTAAAGGAATTTCTTTTTAAACTGTTCCTATTTTTTAAGGCTGTATTTTACAATCCAATTACTGCTTTTCAGTGTAATTTCTGAATAGTGTTTTAACACTTAAAAATTTTTGCAACATCCATTTGAGTTTGTAGCATGGTACAGTAGAAGAAGGTCTGCTATTCCTAAGTTTATTAAAATCTGCTTTCTTTGTGGAGTTGGAAGGAAACCTAAGATTTAAAGTGGAGTATATTGTTTCATACCTTCAGAGTTTCATTTAATCTCTGCATGAATGGGGGGGGGGGGTTGAAAATGTGCCAATACCATAAGCAGTTGATAAAAATATAGGTAAAGAATCATAGCAATAATTTTGCTCACATCTTACAATTAAGTATTTTTTAAAAGCAATAAATTAGTCTTCTACCTATGAAGAGAGCCCACTAGGAGCCAAGCGTCAACAGCAGGTTCAGTTTTGCCCCAGATCATTTCAAATGTTCAGCCCAGTGTACTCCTCCAAGCTGCATCTGAGCTGATTAAATGTTGTGCCTTGTGTGTGCTTTTATTGTACCAGTGATGACTGCATTAGGACTGGATTTACTGCTTTACGTCCTGTTAGCAGCAAAATGGGTTTTTCTGTATTGACTTTGTTTAAACTGAGAGTGGATAATTTATATGTAACTGGCAAGAGAAAAAAGAAAAAAAAGTTCAAACTAGTCTTAATTCGTCAAGTATGTTTCTGTGTGGTAACAAAATCTGGCATCTCTCACTCCGGTTTCGGGTGAGCTGGAATGCCTTTCAGCAGGGGCAGTACAAGGCTTGCAGAGCAGGATTCATAATTTGCTAAGAGCTTTCTTTAACCAAGAAGTACCCATGTGGACATAAGAATGAAATATACTCCTTTACCCATAGAGGAGGATTCTAGATCCCAACGCTTGTAGATGGGAGCTCCAGTTCACTGCTGGCTGGGCCGGCACTAGACCAGAAGTAAGCTCTGGACTGGGGCAGGGTGTGGGTAGAGGTGGGAGCGCTAGGGGTGCTCTCTGCTTCTGTGGCTTTAATTCCCAGTGGCTCCTTCTGCTTTTTAGTATGCTAAAATAGTTATCTTGTTTAATAGTTCTTTAGTTTTGCCTCTCTAATTGCTTCTCTAATAGGATATTTTTTACTGTCAAATACTGAATATTAGGATACTTACAGAATTATACTTCATTTGGAGTATCTTGTGCTTTATTGTATCTTATGTTATACACCTGAAATTAGGAATTGTGAGCATAAATTACTTGTAGTGATTATAGAGAATATGAAATTTCTGAAATGATTGCTCTACAGTGCAGTTTAAGAAACACATGTTAACCTTGTCTCAGCTTGAGAGACGATCTGTTTAAGACTGACTCCTTTGTCTTCAGAGCTTATATTGCACCAGCTACCCCTTTAGATAACTCTTGAGAAAACTCCTTTTCTATGGTTGTTACTCCAAGTTCTTCTCCTTCTGTCTTTATGACTGTGAGTCCTGGGACTGCATGTGAGCTTTCTCACGGTATGACCCTTAAAACACAAATGTGCATGGTGTTCAGCCTGGACACACACTGTCATACATTGAACATTTCCTACCTTTAAAACATTGCAATTATTGATCATACCCCCAATACAGGAGATAAAATTGAGATAAGATCAAGACAGTGATATGGAATGAATATATACTTTTTAGTTGCTCTCAAAGCTACCATATATGTGCTATTTTTTTATGTGATATATATATATATATATATATATATATATATATATATCCACATCTATTATATAGCACATATATGGTAGCTTTGAGAAATAGAGTGGAATGTTGCCTTCACATTTTTATTATCTCATTTTAGTTACTATTAAATAGGATCATTTAATGCTGGCATTTGTATTTAAGTTATAAGAGAACTTACAAGGAGCACAATAGGTGCTCCTCATATAGGTCACTAAATAGGGTTATTTACCCATTTAACTGAAAAATATGGGTTAATTACTTTTGCAAGCAAACAAGAATCCCAGGTCAACAGTAAATGCTGTTTCTGTTCATCTGATACACATACAGGAAAAAAAAAAAGCATGTATCAGAATTCAGGAGCATTGTAGTGATAATTTAAGTAAAAAATAGAAAAATAACTATGAGAACTATACCCTGACTTCACTAAACGTAGATATACTACTGAAATTGAAGAAAGAAAAGCCTTTGCAAGTCCAGTGCTTTCTAAATGTAAACACTTCCAGAGTCTTTTCATAAGACGATTCCCTTATCAGGGTTGCAGACAAATATTTGAGTGATGCTTCCCTAGTTGCTCAATAAACTAAAAGATTCCCCCTTAAGACATTTTTGCCAGACTGCAGAGAAGGACTCATTTGGGAAGCTTCCCTGGACACTTGATTTGCTAGTGCTCAAAGTTCAGAGATCAGCAGGGGGTGGGGGTTTGGGACAGACGGCATTTGTAGGGACATTAATTCTCAGTAAACATGCCACCATTTAAATCAAGTAGTTCTAATGCTTTCTTTTGAACAAGCCCAGTCTTTGACAGAATGAGAGAAGTTTCTTTTTAAATCTTCACATCCTTTAGTGTGGTGATAAATGAAAGGAAGAGTTTCTTCTTGTCTTACCTCAGTGAAGGGTGTTTACTCCAGGCTGGTAAGTTCTGAGGGGTTGGGTCTATAGTATGTGGAGTGTTAAGCATCATGTCATCCGATGTCTACAGATGAGCCTGTGGCCCGCTCTCTGTTAGTCGGCTCAGTGACGTGATCCAGCATGGCAAGGGAAAGCTGGAGTCCAGAAGGTAGGTTGTCTTGTTGCGAGTTGAATTTTCTTGAAGAAAGAGTGTGTTCCCGTGACCTTAAGACAAAGACTGTTTATTTCCATAACACTTTGTCATTCTTGTTTGGTGGGGCTGTCAAGCTGGGAGGCAGCCTTGTCATCTGTAGGCTGTGTGACTGGAGCTTTAGAAATGTAAGATAAGTGCAACCAGAATTGTTTCCCCTTTTCTTGGTGTGAACTTCAGGGAACACGCTCTTCTGTTGGAGGAGCTGGAGACCTCACTTTAGAAACTGACCAGTGATTATAAATATGCTTTTCTTGAGGGTTAAATAAACTCATTAGTCAAATTAGCTATTTCCTAAACTGCCTTCAGAAGACCCACAAGTCACTGAGACTGTGTGACAGTTTGTTTCAGGTTTTTGTGCATTGTACAAAGGAATTCTGCAGTTGTCTCTCATTTATACTGTTGTCTTAATAAGGTTTCTGTGCTGTCTTTGCCTCTACCCTTACAGTGCAAGAACTGCCACCAAGGAAACAGGTGGAGATGTGTTTGCATTTCCTGAAATATTTTCTAAATGTTGAGTATTTCGAGTGACAGTTGGATCCTCTTAAAACTGATGAACATTAATTTTATAAACTATGAATTGCTGCCTTGGCTGCACATTAGAATCTCTCAGGAGCTTTAAAAAAAATCACCGATGGCCATACTATCACAATATGAATGAAATTAGAATTGCTGGCCAAAGGTCCGTTTTGTAATTAAAAAGGTATACATCGCTGAAGTGATTCCAATGTGTAGCCAGGTGGAGACTGGTGTGACACGCATGTGGTTTTGCAAATGTGTGTTGTATCCATTGCATTTCCCTTAAGACCTGTGATCTAATGTGTGCCTTGGTTGGGGTGGGAGTTGGGGAACCACCTCATTGTTTGACATTTCTGAGTTGGGATGCTTCTTTGGCTTTAGTTCATATAAATTTGGTTATAAGGATTAACACAGTACTCCAGATTTAGAGTTAAAAAACAATTCAGCTTTGTGGAATTTAACTCTGAATTGCAAAGATAATGAGTCTCATGTCTCTCACGATGCTTACTTACAATGTGAGTTTGAGACATGGATGCTATGTGGTGTGATCATTTCTGTGGCTCTCCAGGTACTCCTTTCATAATTGCAATATGAATGGAGCTCTTGAAGTGTGTAGGTAGGGGGATAGGTGTTCATGCTAAATGAAATGACAGTTAGCATCCTTTGTCCCAAATTGTAAGCAAGAAATCTCATGTTTACACCCCTATCTCTCCTGCACAGACCTGATACCAAAGGAAAATAGGCAAAAAACAATTGAAAACAATAGGATTGGTGTTTCTGTAAGCCTGAATTTCCTTTTTAACTTCTCACTGCATGCATAAACTCATGTCTTGGTAACTGGTACATCTCTAGCTAACCAAATATGGTCGTTCCCCGCCCCCCCCATTTGCTCTACTACATTTATTTTCTTCCTAAGTTTTTTTTGTTTTGTTTTGGTTTTTTTTGTTTTTGTTTTTGTTTTGTTTTTTTTGTTGTTTTTTTTTTTTGCTTTTATCATGGTCTGTTGTAAATGTGGGCAAAGTCTCTCCATTTTTCTTCTATATCATTAAGTTTTTATAAATACTACCAGTAGTCTTGTATAAAGATATGTACCATTTATGATTTCTCCTCTTTGATGTCTTTATCAATATATATTACATATATAATCATATTCAAAGAAGTTATATAATGGTAAAAACACTTATTTTTATTTCACTTTCAAAGATGGTAGTGGTTATTATGTAATTTGAAACTACCTAGTTGATAACACAAATTTAGTAGTCAGACAGCAAGTTCTCATGAAAAGAGTTCTCCTTAAAGAGCTCTCGCACCTAAGTCAGTTTGCCTGCTCATAATGTGGGCGAGCACCCTGCTGCCAGAGAGGCTGGGATGATGGGATGTCTGTGGCATAGGTTGTGGGACTGGATCAAAAGCGTGGCTTCCAATTTGCTGCAGTTTCTGCTTATGGGGAATAATAGCAACAGTACTTTTGTATGGTTCTTGGCAACCTGTAAAATGTTTTTAAGTGCTTAGGTGGAGATATTTATAAATATTCTTACTGAAAGAGAGTTTAGTGGCAGAAAGCTTATGAACTCAAAAAAAAAAAGAAGTTAATTTGACTCAGAAGGTAAGAAGACACTTGGGTATAAGACCGGCTTGCTCAGGTCAGTCCTATTATTTTGAAATTATCTGAGTAGTGGCTGAGGATAAGGATGGCTTGTTTTTTATTTGTTTCTGGTTAGTGATGTAGTAGTGACTGGACAACACTGCTAACTTAGTGAGCTGTCTCTGATACTCTTGAAAGTTGAATTGTAACCTGTTAAACCTGGGAAATACTGAATTTAGAGGCTTTTTTGTGTGGGTGTTTATGTCAGAAGTCTCTGGTGGACTGGTTGACCTTGGTGCTTCCTGGGAGTCATCTTGAGGTAGTGGAAAGCCTTGCCTTCAGAGTCTTTGTGTGGGATTGAATCCAGCCATGTGATTTGGATGAGCCTTCCATGTTGTTGGCACTGTTGATCAGTATTCTCTCTGATGGGTTAAGCTGTACTTACTTTATGAGGACAGCACTCCTAGAGACAAAGTCTGGCTGATGTCCTTCTAACCCTTCCCTAGCTCAGCAGGGCCATGCAGAGGATGCCTGGCACACACACATTGTTTCTCATGGTGTTTAGAGAAGCCATGGGCTTCTGCTGCAGTACTAAATACTGAGAAGCCAGCGTGCTACCGGTGATGAGAACTGAGGCCGTCATTTTAGAGTGAGGTCAATCAGTGTCCAAGAATCACTTCCTACTGAAACAGGGCTTATAAATAATAGATACAAATACTTCCCAAATTGCCTTTAGTCCTTTGTGAATGGAAAAACTTGAAGTCCTCTTGTGTACCCATCTTCTCTTTGGAGAAAAAGAGGCAATATAATTCATTCCTTATGTATAGGGGGTTTTGTTTGTTTGTTTGTTTGTTTGTTTGGTTGGTTGGTTGGTTGGTTTTTCAAGACAGGATTTCTCTGTGTAGCTTTGGAGCCTATCCTGGCACTCTCTCTCTGGAGACCAGAGGCTGGCCTGGAACTCACAGTGATCCACCTGCCTCTGCCTCTCGAGTGCAGGGATTAAAGGCGTGCGCCACCAACACCCGGCTTCTGTATAGGTTTTATCAAAGAGATTCAGATTCTGCCAAATTTTATGAAAATTAGGCACAGCCCAATTTAGGAGGATTGATATAAGCCATAATTAAACTCAATAATTAATTAGAACTTAAGTTAAAATGTGGTTCTTTCCCTGCCCTAGTTAGAAAAAGGGTTTGTTTTCTTCTTCAGCCCTTGTGTTCAGCCTCCTTGCATTGTGCATCTTCTTGCCATTGCTTAGGCCTAGTTCTCTTGCTGCCTTGAAGCCTTGTTGGAGGTTTTCCTCTTCCTTGGAGGAATGCGTGCCAAGGACTAGCAGCACAGACATGTTGCTGGCGGCTTGGTGCTCCCTCAGGGTAGATGGCTCAGAACCTGTCTTTTAACCACATCCCCAGCAGACCCCTAAATTTGGAGGCACTGGGCCAACATTGGACATTTTCATCTCGTGAATGTGCTCTAGGGAGGACAACTCGCCTGAAAGCAGAACTGGCTACAAAATGGAATGCAGTTTTAACCATTTCACTTTAGTGCTGTGAGTCCAGAGAGGTGCTGTTACTCCAACATGTCATCTGAGTGTCGAGAAGGTAGAAAGCTCTTAACCCTGCCATCAGTCTTCCTAGTTTCACCACTTATTGATGTGTAACTCAGGGCACCTTACTTAGTCTCTGTATCAAGTTTTGTTTTGCAAAACAGAGTAGGTTATGCCTTCCACATCTGTTTTCCTGGAGGCTATTAGTGGGATCAGCTGGAGTGAGATGAGCCTTGGGAAATGCCAGAGAGGTGCACTCTTATGCTGTCGATGGCAGGGAAGACACTGCTCCTCCAGGTATGGTGTGTGTTTGTGTGTGTGTGTGTGTGTGTGTGTGTGTGTGTGTGTGTGTGTGTGTGTGTGTGTGTGTGTAGAGAGTAGTGATGGCTTCACTTAGTGATTACTGTGGTAATTGGATCAGTCTGTGTAGCCTCTTCAACAGTACACTTAGATTTTAACTTTGCAGTTTTCTGGATGGCTTAGAAATTGTGATTTCCAGGTCCAAGCAGGGGCTGCATGGTTGTTCATGTACTTTAGCTGCCTCTGTGCTCCTGAAGCCATTGTACAGTCCCATTGCATTCTTTAAGTGAATTGTGTTATTAGTATAGTTTGGTGTATATTGTATTTGTAGTACATTTTATAACTCAGACAGATTGTATCATGAGTTTGTAATAAGATTTTCAATTATGTGCTCTTTTTTGTCTTAAAGTGTGACTCTTTGTATTTTATAGCATGTATTTTAAGTACACAAACTGGTGATTCTGTATACACACACACACACACACACACACACACACACACACACACACACACACACACACTTTATTTTAACCACATAGACTGTTTTCTGGCAATTCTCGAGCTTCACATACGAAAGCTCTCACCACTGAGCTACAGCCCCTGACCTCAACCAGATTGACTCTTAACAGTAGAGTTTTCTGCAGATAGCTTTGTCTACACATAATAGTGCCTACTGACTTCTTCCCATCTGTTACATCCAGATTCAAATCACTGTGTTTTTTATTTTATTTCATTTTTTTAGTTTTGCTTTGTGTTCTGTTTTTTTTTTTTTTTGTTTGTTTGTTTGTTTTTCCCTGGGTTTTTTGAGACAGGGTTTCTCTGTGGCTTTGGAGGCTGTCCTGGAACTAGCTCTTGTAGACCAGGCTGGTCTCAAACTCACAGTGATCCACCTGCCTCTGCCTCCTGAGTTCTGGGATTAAAGGCATGTGCCACTACCACATGGCATCTGTGTGGTCTTTCTTTCTTTCTTTCTTTCTTTCTTTCTTTCTTTCTTTCTTTCTTTCTTTCTTTCTTTCTTTCTTTCTTCCTTCCTTCCTTCCTTCCTTCCTTCCTTTCTTCCCTC